TGTGCTTCATATTCCAAGAGAAATTCAGTACAATTCAAATTCCATATGAGATTCAGTGTACTTCATATTCCACGTGAAATTCAATGCAATTCAGATTCCATGTATTATTCAGTTTAAATCTAATTCCATGTCAATTTAACACAATTTAAATCCATGTATAATTCTGTAATTTAATATCAAATTTGTATTTATACCATAAGAAATACAGTATGTTGCAAATCAGTCCATCTCTGAATATCTGAATACTGACCAAGGTTTGAAATGTAGTCTATTGGGTTATATAATAAAGAAAAGACGGTAGTTCAAAAATAAATTTACAGACTTACAGCTAGCAGCAACTGAAAAAAGGGCTGCATTAAATACATTTTCCAGCCACAGCAACTGAAAAAATGACCTGCATGAAATACATTTACCAGCCACAGACTAACCACGTATCAAACAAAAAATGCAATCTGATATGCATATGATTTTACTGATATGTAAACAATATCAAAACATCTTTTATCCTTCATGTAAACAATCCAAGCGATAGTAGGTCTCGTACAAGGCAGTGATCGTTCAGGCTTAATTCACTCAGATACCGCTAAAACAGCATTGCATAATCTAAAACATATAATAACAATGAAATTGATAAACTGAAAAAAGTAAGATCACACCTTATTCATTGAAAATTGCACGTTTGTTGAAAACTGCTGTCTTCGTCTTGAAAAAATAATGTATGCAGATGTATTCATACGCGATACTGTTTAACTCTCAATTCTCACTTCTTCACCACAAAAACGTAAAAAACATTTGTAAAGTAAAGTAAACTACATAGAAATAATTGAACGAACGAACTTATCACACGAAACCGCGAAAACACGATTGTTCACAATCACCACGCAGTGATTTCCCCTTGACTCTTCGGCGAAGACTGAGCTGATAAAGGGAAGTAACCGCTGCGAGGAGTTTGGATTGTTTATGGAATTCAAAGAAGTAACATCGGGCGTACTTATACAAACATATGTTAATATTTTTTAAAATGTTTATTCTCATAATCTCATCCGCGTTATTAAAACAAATATAAAATTACATTATGATATAATGGCCCAGCACATGAAAAATCTTCAAATCATTGGTAATTGTTTGTTACATTTTGAGCACTATTTTGTACTGCGTAGCAGCAAATCAGAGTTAGTAATTTGGCTGTTTTCGATCAAAATGACCTGTCTCACTAGAAGTTGTTATAAAAAAGCGGCTTATCGCAAAAAGAAAAGAACAATGGAATTTTACATTGAAATGTTCTCATTCATCCCATCTTATTTTCACAATCCATTCCTTTATTAAACTCATATCCTTAGGTATTTTATAAAAAAAATAACTGTATATAATCAAATCTAGAATTGGAATAACGTAGTGGAATACAACAAGGAAAATGAGATTTTCCAAGTAAGTTTAACACGCGTGTGGTCAGACTCTTTTGTTTACATTCATGTCCTGTAAGCCTCTCTCCGGTGGTAGAATGTAAAGTATGCATATAATTTGAGAAAGGCCTTTAAATCCTTCAATGTAAAACTCGTTCTGATTAAATATCACCCTCATAGGATATATTCCCCGAGGAATATTTCTATATCACACTAGGGTACATAACTCTTGCATAACTACATAATGTATCTTTTTGGATGTAACACCTACATACGTCCGTATTTAATCATTCTTGAACTGTTTTTGTTAAGTTTATTTCTTTGAGCAAAATTAGTAAACGAGATGATGTATATTCCATATATTTCCTTGTACTTTGTAAATATTGTAGTTGTAGATCTTTCGGTATATTAAAATGGATAAGAGACGACTGTCGGGGTGATCGAGGTAATGGCAAACCCTTGAACTGGCACTTTACCCCTCGGCTGTCAGATGTTGTTTACAAAGACGGAACATCTGTGGTTCAACAAAGGTGCTTACAAAGACAAACACATCACTATAATTATACAGTCAATAACGGTGATTATCACATCAAAATCTATATAAAAATTATCACAAACACAGACACACCATTTTCAATATAAAGTCAATTAGAAAAATAAGCGTATTATCAAACGGCATAATTATTATTTCGTAAGTGCTAGCATTACATATAAACTGATCGTTGTTTGCCCATGCAATCAAGTTAACTCTTAAAAACACAAAATTTTGTATCCGAAATAAAACTACCATTTTGTTGTAGGAATGCGGGAGAACGAATATGCAACAAAGTTTAACTTTATGTTTTCGCATTTGTAAATTTTTTCATTGTCAGCTTGACATAAATCAACCACATATCAAAACAGTATGGCAGTAAAAGACAGTTAAATACGTTTTCGTATTTCAGTTCTACTAGGCAACACACTTTTATACCATGAAATGTAAGCATATACAATGTATACTGAATGCAAGCAATTCAATAGTTATTTACATATAAAAATCTAAAAAATAGAAGATCCCTCAAAAGCATTAACCACACCAAAATACATGAAAATTGCAGACTCGATTTGATTGAGTCTGTACATGAGAGATAATGTAAAAGTTCATCCCTCAAGCCCCCTAGTACCGGCTTTGCGATACTCAATTTTCAACACTTGTAATACGATACCTTTGCAACTTACTGAATACGAAAATGCGCGATAGAGGAACATTAGACCGATGAGTATGTGAGTACACTTGTAAGTGCTTGAAGGATTAGAAAAATTTAACAATACTGAATATATAGCTGTCCAGTATTTTTGTAAATGCAGGTAATTATAAATAGGCAAATAATTAGTGTTATAAGCTTGTGATGCACTTGAAATGATAACTAAATGTTGATCACTTAAAATTTTTATAGGAATACAGACATAGTAATGTATCATATTGTTACGAGCCAGGCGTAACGAGAAAGTAAAGCCAGCAACAAACTTGTAACAATAACAAATTTATTACAGAAAAATTATTAAAGAAAATTAAAACAACAAATTATGTGTACAAATACCTGAAGTCCAAATATAAATGTAAAATTCAAATGTCTAGTCTGATCCTGGAATGATCCCTTTTTGAATAGCACAGTTAAATCCAAGTTAAATCCAAGAACACTTAAGAATAAATTCCCACAATAAAATCCACAAGGATAATTTTAACTATTTTAAAATAATCCAAGCTCCAATAAATCACTTTAAATCCAAGTTGAATAATACTCCAAATATATTGATTTCTAAAAGATCACTGATGACTTAAAAGGTAAGAGTAATGAAAAATGTCTCCTTATATATAGTAAGAGAATAGGCCCTCCGAACAAATTAATCTACTTTATATCATTTATTCTATAAATTGTTATTTTGTTTAAAAAATAATTTTACATAAATTATGTAGAAAATAAGAAGAAGAAGAAAAAACTTCCGTTTTAGCAGTGAAAAAAAACGATTGAATGAATTGATATTCTGAGCTTTACATTAAAATATACATAGAAATTTTGTTTGTTCGAAAAAAAGAAGAAAAACAAAAACGATTTCAAATTTTGTATATACCTATAAGAACTTTCCTTTGTTATTAAATGTTTTTCTTTTTCTTTGTTATTGTTAAATCATAAGGCCGTAAGGTAAATAAGTCTACATGTTCCTTTTGTGTGCACAGTATGTTACATTCCCTAAATAATGATATTATTGTTATAAATCCAACTTCGTTACAATAATTTACTATGATGCCATAAGTTTTGCATGGAATCTATTGTATTATTTAAGGTGTTGCTGCAAACTTCCAACGAAACTTGGCTTACGCTTTTTTAACACATTTATTTTAAATATATCTATCTTTGCGCTTTTGTTTCGCATGTTCTAGCATTCATTTAAGTCTACTGATTCAAATTTCTATTTTAAAGAGAACTTATGCCTTATGCCTATATCAAAAGACAAACTCTAAAACAAATTTATTTAAGCTCCATGTTTCACGAGTACTATCATTCAAGTCACGTGTAATTCCAATTCTTAGTTTAAAGAGAGCTAATGCCTTTATCGCCACATGAAAAGACAATGTCGTGTTCCTTAATCACTAGGCAACGTCGTTAAAGAAAGGTGTCATTTTTTTAAAGTGCGTCATACATCTGATCAGTTGCGTTAGTTTTTTAACTTTCATTTGACGAGTTCTTACGGTGCATGCCGTCACCAATACATGAACTATCATTTTCAGACGTATGTTTACGCTCTTTTCCCAAACTGTTTGTGTCCGACTGCCGGTGACTAAGGTTTTGATATTGGCTGTAAATATATAGAGGATATTTGTTTACTTCAGTGTTAGATCGAAATGTATTTCACCGAGTGAGCGCCAAAATATATTTCATGAATGGCGCAGCCACGAGTGAAATTTGAACTTTTGGTGTTGACGATGTGAAATTTATTTCGATCTTGCACTAAATTAGATAAAAAAATTTTAATAACATTCGATTTATTATCGAAATAACTTATAATATACACCATAAGTACTCGTGCATTTGTTTTAAAGACAATACGTTATTTTTGCGATAGACTTGAATATGACAGAAACATATACTTCACTTTAAACGCAATATTTGAATATACCACTTAATGATGTTGTTATATATAAAAATCGTTGATGGATTTTTCAAAACAGCAGCTGCTGCTAAAATCAAAATGAAATACACAGTAAAAGGAAGTAAAGTTATTCTATTCTGGATTCATTATTTTACTCCGCTGTCATTGGTATTATGTTATGTATTAATTTTCCGGCTAAATTTACAGAAGAAAACCTTATGTGCCTTTTGGCAAACTCGAAGCACATTCAAGCGACTCAAAGGACGGAAAATATACCACTTTATATATCTAGTTTGGTAGATAGTGAAAGTAATCTGCATTGTATGCAACGATTATGTTTTATTTGTTCGTTACTCAAAAGAAATTATATCAATATTTACTGATTTGCTAAATATGACACTGGACATTAACAAATACTTTATTGCTACAGAATTATTGTGTATTTACCTTTCGCAATATCAATACTTGGTTTCTGTATACAGATGCTGGTACATTTCACCCGATGGAGTATTGTCTTGCCTATCTAGACCTTCATAAAATTTTTGGTCAGGTATTTCGTAAGTGTTAGTATCTTACTCGCTTTGTTCTATGTTAGTTTCTAAGTCAGACATTGTGACTTCATTTGATTGATTGTTTCTTTTTTCTTTAACAGACCGATGCCTGAAACATATCAAACACCAGGTCCATCATTACAACAATCGTTCTAAATGTGAATCATGATAAAAATATTAACATGACATGTAACTTTATTATTAGCAATACGTGTACAATTGTTGCTACTACGCAATATTGAAAATAACAGCAAGACAAAAGTACTGTAAAACACTGGATTAAGCCACTAATGCGGTACGCATGTCCTTTTGGAACATGATTTATATTCTGGGAGTGTCTTGTAAGATTTAAAATGTTGCATTCTAATATTTATGAATAAATTTTCTTTCCACGTCGTTATAGTTTGTTTGTTATATTGATACACAGGTATATTTAAAGTAATAAAAATCTATATTTTGACTCAATAAAATTGATTTGTTATGGATATTGTTTTTTTTTTTAGATATTGGAAATACTTTTACGTGACGTAAAGTTACAATATTTACTGTAAAAATTGTCACAAATCAAAATTGTTAAAAAAAGACATGATAACAACAACTGCAGGACCATCCGACCTTAACCGTTTTAAAACCAGCTTCTTATTAAGGCTACGCATTAGGATCAGATGACCTCTCAAACAGCCAATCATCGGTGAGCTTTCACAATTTTGAAAACGAAGCGGCTTGTAATTTTAACGCTTGAAAACTAAATACTAAGTAGATAATGTTCATGATTTCAAGAAAAAACATAGCGTTGTCCATATAGCCGGCAGGATAACTGACAAAAAAATCTTTCCATTAAAAATACATTGTATTATTTTTATGATTTGTTTCAAATTACCACAAACTTTAAAACATTTTTTATAAAAAAAACAACAAAAATTACTTCCGAGGACAACCAAATTGTGATACTTCGTCGAAAGTATATCTGTAAAGGACAACTTGATTGCATAGCTAGAATTAGCTTTCTCGGGAAACCCGATTCACAATAAATGAGAAACAAATACAATGGTTTTCAGATCTACATGCAAATAATAACTTAAGTAGATCTAAACTTTAAATCTGATTGATCTGACCTCAAATTAGCTTTGATTTTATTTCGTTAGTCAGGCAACACATTTATCTATGTGGGTATATAATGTAACAAATAAAAAATGAAAATTATATTAACAATTATCGAACTAACCTTCTACAAATTATTACGATAAAAATTACAACTGCCAAGCAGACGAAAGTTGCAATAGAGGACGCCACAACTGGAACTGAAATACAAAACATTGCTTTTATGATAATTGTGCATGTACATTTAGATAATACACTGGTAACTTCATTGTTGGTAACAAATTTGAAAGTTTCCTTCATAAAATCAATTTTGTTGTATAAATACATACTTCGATACTATTTGGAGATAAGGTGTTTGGGGAGATCATATTCTTAACAAAGTAAAAAAATCTGGAAACAAAGTGATCCCTCGGGAGCATTAAACACAACAAAATCACAAGAGAATTGCAGACTCGGTTTGATTGAGTCTGTACATGAGGGATAATGAATAAGTGCAACATCCCTCACGACCCCTAGTACCGGCTTGAGTGGTACTCAATTCTCAATACTTAATAGTGCTGGCATCAGTGATCCCGAAGGACCAGAAAAATATAACAACTATGAAGTGAAGTACGGGGCAACTTTTTACAGCTGCAACACAGCACTTGACACCTGCTATTGTGAAGTATAAAAGTCTGGAAAAATAAAGTGATCCCTCGGGAGCATTAATCACAACAAAATCACAAGAGAATTGCAGACTCGGTTTGATTGAGTATGTACATGAGGGATAATGAATAAGTGCAACATCTCTGATCTTTCTCGAAATACATGTATTAAAACGCTAAGTCATGCATATTTGTAATAAGAGTAAAACAGATTACTTCCCTTCTAATGTAGGCGTCAGACAGGGTAAATATTTAACTCCCCTGTGTTTTTCTTGATGCTTAAATGGTCTTAAAGATTTCATCAACATCAGTAATAACGCAAAAGGGGTAAAATGCAACAAACATCAGTTCGAAACTGTAGCTATGTATTGTGTAAATTTTTCATACTACTTTACGCAGACGACAGACGACAGTAAAAAATTGCTTTCATCTACGCTGATTACTGTGATGCTTGGAAACCTTAATTAATTCTTCTTAAACAAAGTTCTTAATTTTTGCAACGGTAAGGCAACGCTACTATACTTAAACATTCAAAAATAAAACTTTAGAAATAGTAAATGAATACAAATATTCAGGTGTCTGGCTCATTTTTGTAATACAACGCAAGACATTGCCAAACAAACTACAAAGCAAGAAGTATTCTTTACTTTAGCATGGCTGTAAAATCTGGGGATTTGACAATTTAGACATGACGGCAATTTAAGTTTTTAAAGTATATTTTATGTCTAAAGAGAAATACCTCTAATATATTTATATATGGCGACGAAGGTACCAAACCGTTTTTTATTGAAATTAAAGTAAGGATGATGTCATTTTTGTCAAACTTAATTGTAACAAATTACAAAAAGCTTACGACGGAAATCATTAAAAAATGAATATTGACCCTTCTAATTATGTGGTATGTAAAAATGTTTGCATTTTGTTAAATATGATCCGATTGTATTGACTTAAATATTTAGTTGAATTTTGATTATTGTTTTTGGAATAACTCGTTTCATTTTGAGTGAATGGTATACTGCCTCCTGTCTATGTAGAAAATATATTGTAGGATGCCGTATGTGAGTTATATAATATTGACCTTGTCAATTGTTTGTAATTTGTTATTTACCTCATATTTACATGTATTGTGCATGATTGGTGTTCAACCTTTTTTTTTTACAGTTGGACGCTACGCTTTCCTCTTTTGATTACATCTGACGGACCAAGTGGGACACTCAATGATTGACAGTTCTTAAAGCCCTTTTGGACTGAATTGTCTTAATGTTCGTCTTCTGCCTTGCTTCGTCGGGCCCTTGTAGGTGATTTTCTTGTTGCTCTGCCTTTAAGATATCGAGTAAGGTCATAAGGCTGTACCTTTTTCTACATATTTACACACTTTTTTACGTGTTTTATTTATTTCGTCCGATGTAACCATGACCATTGTTAGAATTTCACTTGGCGGAGATTAATTTTATATACATTTTTGTGTCATTCAGGAACATATTGGGGCTAAGAGTGAGGTTTGGTGCGCCTATAACCGGTTTAAACTCTCCAGTAGTTTAACTACCACGGACCGTTCAAAGGCGGTACCCCTCTGTGTTCCTTCACGTGTTTAATGTCTGTATTGTTACTTGTTTTGGATGTTTGCATGTTTTGTGAGGTCTGTCTTGTTGGATGTCGTTGACGGTAGGTATTTTGTCAATCCCCCTCTCATATCTTTTTCGAAAGGGTACCCCCCCCCTCACTTTTTCATCCTATTATAGCCCTTGAATCTTGAATTTTGATGCAGAACTGTTGTTTACAGGATTTTCTGTACCATTATGACAAAAAAGCAAAAAAAACCTGACACTTTGAATTCTAGTTTTCAAAACTTATTATTACTCCTATCATTGAATACATAATACATACTAATAACGTGATGGTCGTCTGTGTCAGCTGTTTTTCCTGCATATTTGTCAGTAACAACCGTTGAATGAGGGTATGGCGATGACGTTGCTATAGACTTTTAAAACTTTCACCGACGTACCATCGCATACAACGTTGAAAGTAGTGTCTAAAATAAAATTTAATTATCATTGGCATTGTGTATAAACACTAACTACTGGGTAAAAACACATTCCTAATAACTCTTGTTGACGAACAAGAACATGGCATAGAAAGGAACACATATATGATTTTCGATTGATTGATTTATTGGTTGATTTGGAAAGACTTAATTTCATTTTAATTTCAGTTTCATATCTGGTATCTACTTATGCGAGACAAAAAACACACTAGAATTTGTATTATATACAATGTTAAGTGAATATGTTGTTGCTGCAATACTTTACAAAATTCTGGAAACAAAATGATCCCTCGGAAGCATTAATCACAACAAAATAACATAAGAATTGCAGACCCGGTTTGATTGAGTCTGTACATGAGGGATAATGAATAAGTGCAACATCCCTCACGCCCCCTAGCACCGGCTTGAGCGGTACTCAATTCTCAACACTTTATAGTGTTGGCATCAGTGATCCCGAAGGACCAGAAAAAACATGATCTCATCACAGAGCATGGTTAAGACTTTTTTTAAATTTTTATTCATGTGATTTCAATGTAATTAGAAAACCATTCATAAACCAGACACCTAGAAATAATAACACACAACTAAAAAAGTTGAAATGATATGTAGAAGTTACCTGACTTTATTTTCATACCTGAGGAAACCATCAAGCAAACACCTTCACGTTTGTAATCATCATGAGTAAGGACAGAAAGCGTTAGACTTCGATCCTCTGATGTGAATGTATGTTGCTCTCTCGACATCATTTCATTATTGTTGACTCTAAAGCTTAAGCTTTGAGGAACCATGCCATCAACAAAAGAGAATGAAATATCGACCTCTGAAGTGTTTGAAGTCATCGAACACACACAAAGTGTCTGTTGAAATATTTGAACTCCTGTTGTTGTTATGTAGGAAAGTTTTTGTGCCGTCAAGGTGTTGACTTTACATATTTCTACAACTAGATGTAACAAAACAAGAAACGCTTAAAATATTATAATCTATATTATACTTTTAAAAAGCAGTTAACATATTTCTAATAGAATATCAATGGTGTTTTTATTTTGCATAATTATTAAATTTTATTTTTGAAATAGTTCACGCTTGGCCTTTTCTGTAAGGAGAGGAAGAAAACTTATCGTCTCACACTGCAATTATATGCATATTTAAAAACATAATAATATCTTAAACAACAACAAACAAACAAAACTTTAAAAGTGTTCGGCCTGATCTGCTGGCCTTAGGACTGTTGGTATTTGGTAAAATTGTAATCTGAGTACTGACATAGTGATGACATAGGACATTATATTCTCACTTCGATAAACTTAAAATACTTTGATTGGCTTTGTCTCATAAAGATTTCAAGGAAGCGCATATGATCTCATAATGATTAACTGTTTTACCAAAAGTTCAAAATATATTGAGCGGACATTATAGTAGGTATCATCGTATGTATAAACATGTATATATCCTTTTTTCTGATATAAAAGGGTATTTATGACGAGCCTACCTGGTTTATATTCATCGCTACAAAGTCGTGATTCACCGTAATTCATTTCACTGTATACAAATACGTTGTACTATAAAAGTTCCTTATTACATACGACTATTAGCTTTTTACATATTAAGTATTACCATATTCTTGCTTTTAATTACTTAATTACAGTTTCTTTTTTTTTACTTATATAATTAGGCATTATGATGCAATGATGTAGAAATACAAAAAAGAAATCCCAAAAAAGTCCATGGGATATTTTGTAGTAAACATTACACAGTGAAGTTTTGAATCGATTAACTTTATAAATTACCCATTTCTATCGTTTAATTTACCTATGCCATAAATAACAGGAATTTACTTACCATGTTTACAACATATGAGAAGGAAGAAAAAGAATAAAATCATCATCGATATCCTTGTTTCAACAAATAATATAACTTTTTTTGCTTATACAACTAATTAACCATTTCAAAATACCTAACTTATATTGTTTCCAACACGAAAAACAAATTGACTCGACTTTTAAGATGAAGGTTTAAATAGTTGGTTGGTTGAGCAATTTTTGTTTATACCTATATTCTACCTTTTCATTTAATGTGTATTTTTATTTTTACATTTACTTCGGGTAAATGCAATATTGAAATTGTAAACATCTGTGCATTTCAGTGGAAAAGGAAACACGTTAAAGTTTATATATCACCTTACACAGCTAGACTTAGCCTATTCATCAATTCATAAAAGTTGATAAATAAATAAATAAATGAAATTAAATCAATTACTTGTTTCATCATAAACAGACGAATTTTAATCCAGCTAGATTTTTCATTTTATTGCTGCCGAGTCCTCTCCCTTTTTCAGAATATTTATCTGAATGACGTTTTGATTCAACAAGTGTTCCTATTACATGGTTGGCAATATGAAATAAATTTTCATCTTATATTTTCTTTCATTGTATTTTGAATTAGCCTTTTGTGTATTAAAAATAATTAGAAAGGGTGAATTTCAAGAAATTTACTTTAAATGCTCTTCCATTGGGTTGCATCACGGAGAAAAAACCAAAACATTGTAAGGACTGAACATGGCTTACAGCTAACCGATGTCAGAAATTTTATATCCTGTTGTCGAAGGTATTGATAACGTATCAGAAGAAAGCTTGACATACAGTTTGACAAACAAAAACAACGTTCCAAACCAAAGTGTGACTAGATTTGGACGAACATAGTCCAAATCATTTATAGAAAAATGTGATATAAAATATAAATTCTTACAAGCCTCATGTTATTCTTCTATCAAACAGATATGTGAACAAGTGAATTATGACAAGATATTTGCACAGCATTAAAAGGAATGCTTACACGTCATATGACGTCGTATATGACATAGATAACCCAAATGAGGCCAAGAAAATTACTTCTACGTTTTATATAGTTCAACATATTTTTTATCAATTCTCTTTTTAATTTTAGCATGTTAGAATAGAAAATAGATATTCATTCATTTTTCGTGCATTATACTTTATTATGTGCGTTTATTTATTTTTTTAATTCAAACTTGCATTTTACTACAACAATGCACACAAAATCGATATAAATCCCGGAAAATATAAGCAAACTGTATATGGTATGTATTTTAGCATGTAGAAACATAATAAAGATTCAGTATGAGCCGTGTGTGACATGACTTGTCACAATTCAAGGGTGACGGCGAGGAAAGTAAAAAAAGAGAAAATTTAAACATATCTTTCAGTTAGCGATTTTTGTGAAGTATTGAAAAACGATTGGAATGAATTCAACCTTATGATTGTGGAGAAAAGTAAATGAATAGGTGAAAGGGGGCCATCTATTAAATCTAGACTCATTTTTATCTTTATATTCTATAAATTGTTGTTTTATTTAAATTTTTAATTTTTCAATAGATAGGGAGAAAAGAAATATCCTAGCAGTGTAAAAAAGAAGTTCAGTCAACTGATGTCAGAGCAAGTTAAATTCTGAAACAGCAGAAGAATCAGAACAATCTCTAACAGGGATAGTTTACTCGGAAATTAAAAAATTAAATAACCTTGAATATTCTTCTGATTTTATTAAAAGGACAGACTTGAATCATAAAACATATACATTGTGTAGAACATCTCTTAAGCTAAATATAACATAACATATCATTACTTTATGTACAACAAAAAACATAAATCTAGATTTAGCAGTATGATATTTACAATATCTAAATATATAGTAAAATTATTGCTAAATGAAGGTAAAATATAAATTAATTCGAGCTATCAATACGCAATTTAACATACTACAAAAAATTCAATTCAAACTTAATAATGCATGTACATCAATTATTCAAAAACTCAGCATGAATTAATTTGAACATGACCTAGAACATCAAAAATATTTACAAATTTAAAATTAGCCGCTTTCGTTTTCATTCTTTTTTTTTTTTTTTTTAATAAATCGCGTACTTAAAGTAGAAGAGATAAGATGATCATAGTCAGTTCCTCTTGTAGATTATATGAACGTTTCTTAACTTTATCATTGAAATGATACATTCCCAGTCATCCGCTGATTGGAAACTCACAAAACTGTTACTAATTCTGTATCTTCTCAGCAGTTAGGGATGATAGCTTGACACAAAGAACAAAATGATATATGGAAGAACTGTTATAAATCTTAGATATAACAATCGAATCCTTTCAAATGTTACAACTTGTGCAAAAACTGTGAATTAAATAACACTGTCAAAGTAGTCTACAATACAATAATGAAATACCCTAAAACAACTCAATAGCTCTACATAAATATGCTAATTATCTAAATAAAATGTGCACATTATATTTTTATGGAATGGCAAGATTTGTTCTGTCACAATAGAAATAAAACTTAACCGACCGATACGTTCACCAAAATTAAATGTAACTCAATTTATGGGTGTAATACCATTCTACAATAATGGTGTAAAATCTCATAACTATCGCCCTATATGTAGTAAAATTGTAACTTTCTCACACAATGAATTACATAATTTACGCTTAATCGCTCATAAGGAATTTGTACTGAAAACTATACCTCACACTTATTTTTCAAATGGTTCAATTTTCTTATAGCATTGGTCTGGAACAAATTACCTTATATCATTATTAGACATTATAATCTATCAAAACCAGCTTAAAATGATTTTTTCTTATTGTCATAGTATAGTCATCTCATAAAAAAGATTAAATTTGTATGAAAATATCCGTTACAATGCGGAAATATACCGTTAAATTAGGACTGCTACTTATTGTCATGTTTGTTGATTTAATATTGATGTACGCGGAGTTTCTCATGCAAACAGAAATTGTAGCTTACGAATTCGCCACAATGAGGTTGCACATTTGTATGCTCATTAAACTCATTTTGGTTGTCTGGACACCAAAATAAGATCTGGAGTCGATATGAAACCCAATTTATTAATGAAATGTCGCTATTTCTTTTTTATGAAATTTATTTAATGTAAGTTTAAGGTGTTGCTGAATACTTCTTACAAAACTCTCGATTACATCCTTTTCAACACATTTAGCTAACACATATGTATATTGGCCCTACAGTTTCACAAGTTCTAGCGTTCATTTAAGTCACAAACAATGTCTAGTTTAAAGATATGAAAAACAACCCCCAACCGTCATAAATCTTAGGTAACGCCGTTCTAAATATTTGTCATTTGTCTTTTTGTAGTGTTTCGTACATATGATCAGTTGCCTTAGTTTTATAACTTTCATATTCATTTGACGAGTTCTCACGATGTATGCTGTCACAAATACTATCATGCGTATTGTTATGCTCTACTTCCAGACTGTTTGTGTCTGACTGTCGGTGACTAAGGTTTTGAGTTTTGCTGTAAGGAAATAAAAATGAATTGTCGAAATAAATTATATTAAACACCATAAGCACTCGTGACTTATTTTAAAGACATTACATTATTTTTTGCCATATACTTTGAATATGACATACCTATAATGTAATTGAACAGAATGGTGGTGCAAATGTACAATTAATTTAACCATATGAGAAAAAGCAATATTCAAGTTTACCATTAAATGTATTGATACAAATAAACAATTGGGGGATTTTTCAAAATAGCTAATAACATTTTATCAAAATAAAATACAAATTGAAATGAAGTAAATTTATTCCATTGTTGATTCATTTGTAACTCCGGTATGTTTTGTATAACTTGTTTGGTTAAACATACAGGAGAAATCTAATGTGCCTTTTGGCACAGTCAAAG